TAGACCCCACACTTGTGGGAGCCATGTGCACTGAGCCGCCCTTATCTCCATCTTAAATGTATGACTTTGTAGTGCATTTGAATGAAAAATATGTGGTCAACCTGTAGAAGTCTACTACTCCATATCATACATTAAAACATTAAAATTTTTATGTTCAGGACTACATAATTTTGTTTCAGGTTAAACAATCTTGAGTAGGCTGTAGGATAAGCAAACCCTTTAAGTAGCCCTGTAAATGAACTGTTAATAGTTTTTCCAGTATATGACCTAATCGTACTGCTAGATAATCAGATAACTTATTAAGTGGCATCTGATGATTCATGAGAAGTCAACCATGTTGATGATGCTATGTTCAATATATTGAGGTAGTGCTTTGATTTGGCTATTTGGTCATATCCTTCTTGTGTATACCTTAATAAATTCTCACCATCTGCCCCGCTTCTCTGACTCTTAGAGTAGGAGACTGAAGTGTGCTCCTTCCTTCCATTATCTCCATCTCCAAACCCATAGAACACATTTTCTTTACTGTTGATGCTTGTACTAGGATTTATGGCCAATCCCGCCACTCCTGTCTATATATTTCAATATTCTTTCATCAGTAATTAATTACCAACTTAACGGACATGTTAGTTTGACAACTAGCTGTGAATTCTGTTGATTGTCCATATTACATTCTCCATGTGAAGTTGTGTCCCATAACAGATCCCATTTTAATGGGTAAAATCTTGCATGATTATGATCCGATCATTGAAACATAATCTTAAATTTATCCAAATTGAAGTTAATGTAGATATTAAATTCATATATCTAATTCTCCTTTTTCATATAGTTATCATTCCCAGAATTCATAAGCAATGCTTGTTTCTTTATTGCACGTTTTAGCTGTTTTTATGTAATTACATACTGCTTATCAATTTGTGGGTGCAGATACTTCTGTTATTATTCCATTTGCCCAACTAAGTTTTAAGATCTTATTGAAACCATATAGGAGTAGGACAAAGATTTTTAGTTTAAAGATCTGTTAACGTGTTGTTGACACATTTTTTACCATGGATTATTATGACTATCTTACTGAAGGTTGAGTTCCTTTTAATATTGAATGCCATAATTAGAGTGTCAAAAGCCTTCTCACTTATTTCAGTAACAGATTGTTATTCATACTACATGGATCACTGTCCTGTTAACTGCTAGTAACTTAACATTATTGCATTTGTCGTATTATGGCATGCTGACAATTTTTGGTTGACTTTGTGTACTCCAGGACAGCGGAATCTCTCCAAGTCCTCTATACTGGTGGTTGGAGCTGGAGGGTTGGGGTCCCCTATAGCAATGTATCTTGCTGCTTGTGGCGTTGGTATTATATTTTCCCCTCAGAATATACTACATTTTCTTATGAAATTTGAGGACTCTATCTTTTACTGAAGAATGTTTTCAATTTTCTCGTGAATATACATGTATGAGGAAAACTTTTCTCAAGTATGATTAGAATTAGAATTATAGGCATCATATCTAGCTCTTGCTCAGAATCATTCATTCATGAACTTTATACATTCACTGAAATGACTACTTCAAAACTAAACCTCATTTGGGCAGTTATTAAGTTTCTTACTTTATCATGTGTTCATAAATAAATGGTCATTATCCATTGCTATTATCGAATGCATCATTTGACTATTTTTATTTCTCCTTGTAGGTTGCTTAGGCATCGTTGATAATGACAAAGTTGAGCTTAATAACCTTCACCGACAGGTTGGTATATGACCTGTTTTGTGTCCAACCGCTATCTTCCTCCATACACTATATTATGTATATTACTTGGTAGATGTGAGGTTTTCCTATGAAGTTTGCATTAATTCTATATAACAAGCAATTATGAAATCCATAAAGAAAACTTGATGTGAACTATTGTTTTGAACGATTTGTAACATACCATATATTTGTTGCCCAAAGAAATATGTATAGCCTTACCCTATAAGCAGTCATCTCTCTTCACCACCTCAACTAATATTTCCTTGTAGGTTCACCTTAAATTCAACTTAATTTCATGTCATCTCACACGATGGTTTTCAAAAATAAAAATCATGAAGTTATTTAGGCATGGAGGGGATTAGCAGAGGAAACGGTTTGTTTAGGATTGTCAAGTCGCATGTGTCTTAGAAAGCTTTCTAAAATATCGGCTATGTTCATTCCTTCAGTTGCAATAAACAATAGTGAAGCCATTAAATAAAAGCATTAGTTTCAATTGATGAAGCTAGATAAGCATGCAAGTCAATTTAATTACTCTAATTTGGCATGTGATATAATTAAGATCAACCAACATTATGTGTTTCCTACTCTTTGTAATGTTCAGTTTGGGTACAAAATAATGAAATAGTTTTTCATCAATACCATTAGTTAAACCCTACGTCTTAACAAAGCCCATTGTACCATTTGAACCATTTGAAGACATTATTCTTAAAGTTTTCTGGTGCCTATATTGTACTTAATATTAAGAGCAAAAAGATTTTATATTTATTGGATAAAAGTACAATTCGTAATAAATCTCATTTTAAATTGAGTTTACATTTTTTGTTATATATATATATATATATATATATATATATATATATATATTATTATATATTATATATATATAATATAATATATTGGAGAAGTGCTCCTAAGGTGACGCCTTAAATAATCATCTAAGGACGCGACCTAAATCAAATGATTTGAGCTACATTATGGAATGATGCCGCTCCGTTGAACTTGATCTACAATATTCTAAACCTAAAAGCACCAAGTTTGGGAAGTGAATCCATGGTGCGTTGACGCTGTCATACCACGTCTATCAATTTAAATGGTTTCGAATGAATAGAATATTTACATTGGCCGACGGAGGGGTCAAACGACTATGGGTTCACCCAAACTTGTGTGTTGGGGTTTTAGAATATGCAAATCAAGTTCAACGAGCGGATGCATCCACAATGTAGCTCAATCATTGATTTTAGGTCGCTCCGTTAAGAATGATTATCTAGGCGTACCGTTAGAAACTTGTTCCATATAGTATATAGTATATATATATTATATATATTTATATATATATATATATATATATATATATATATATATATATAATATTTTATATATATATATAAAATTTAATTTGCCAACTAGTGTTAATAGAGATGGTGAAGAAAATCTATTATTACGTAAAACAGCCTTTTGCCTTTTGCTAAACAAAACTTCCTATCTTTTAAAGTTAAGTATCTACTTTTCTAAAATGATGTTAAAATTTTTAAGGGAAAGTAAACTATTAAACAAAAGTAAGTTTAAAACAAATAGTAGTTAGTATCACAATAAATGCTAAATGTGAACAATAATATTTGATGAAGAAGAAAAGTCGTTAGTTTAAGATGTAGTTGTAAAGCTAGATGAAATTTTTTGTAAATAAAAATTCCTCACAAGAAAGTATAGGAGTCACTATAATAGTAGAATGGTGATTCTCTACAAATGTAGACTGCAAAAACTAATAACTTTAAGAATAACGTTAAAATATGTTATTAAATAACATATGCATGATAAACCATTCTTAGCAGACATATTTTGAAGCTCTTGATTATCGTTCTTCATCAGTTATAACTCTCAGTCTTGGGTTTGTCGGAATTAAAGTCAGGAAAGAAATGAAGCAAGTGAAGGAGATGGATGTGACATACAAAGAGATGGACGTTACATGCAAAGAGGAGCTTGTGGTGATGTTGGTTTCCATGGAATAACTTAATGGAGATGATAAAAATGGATATACTAGAGATGAAGAGGTCAATCACCGGAAGGGAAGATGACGAGAATGTCAACATTGGAGAGAAGAGGGACGCACGCATATGGAGAAAGGGTTACATTCTGACGCTGGAGGGGAGATAATGGAAATATATGGCAACATTGAGGAAAATAATGGATGTTTAGGGAATCAAATAGGGGACAAAAAACAGTATTTCACAGGAAGAGACATGTTAGAGCGAAGGAGGGGATTTGGGCAATGGAAAAATCAAATTGGATAAACAAATGGATATTACCATGTAAGAGTAGTATGATGCTCAGAAGAAGGAAGAAAATGAATAAAGGAAAGTAACAAATTGGACAAGCACTGTATGTACTGTTTCCTCTAAAACTAATGTCCAACTGTAGAATTCATTGCCCTCCCAGAATGCATTCTGCTGTGTTCATGGGGACTTAAGCTTGGCAGTTTCCTTATACAGGGATAATGTTATATGAGTTTGACTTTCATCTTCCCACGTTTGACCTGTTACAAAGCAAATGTATCTTTCTTTTTGCAAATGCTTGCATTAGTCAACAGTCACATTTGTCATGGATACTTTTTCTAAGTGATGATGTTCTTGTATCATTTCAATTACTAAGAGTCTCTTCTATTTGTAACTTTAACCATTTGCATTCTTTTGCTGTTTCAATTAAGATCATCCATACAGAAGCATATGTTGGACAATCAAAAGTGAAGTCAGCTGCTGTTTCCTGTCATGCGTATGTAATCGTTCTTTTTATATTACTGAGTTTCTGTTGACATTAATATGGATCAACTGTGTAAATCTAAATTTCTTCACCTGATATTTATTGTTATAATTCAGGATTAACTCCTCTATTAAATTGGTGGAACATAACGAAGCTTTGAAGGCTGCAAATGCTTTGGATATAGTCAGCAAGTATCCTTTATGTGTAATGAAGAAATCTTAGCACTTCCTAGCTCAAGTTAACATTGCTTTTCTTTCAGTTGTAAAATGTTTCCAGGACTACTAGTATCCTTCTAGATATGACATAGTTGTTGATGCAACAGACAATCTGCCAAGTCGATACATGATTAGTGACTGCTGTGTTTTGCTGGACAAGGTATATTAAGTAGCTTCTCAATGCTCATACATCTGATTTAGTAAACATATAGTATTGCAAGTCTAAAAGAAACTTGTTCTTAGTATATATATATATATATATAATATATAATATATATATATTATTATATATATATATATATATAAGTATATAGAGAGAGAGAGAGAGAGAGAGAGAGAGAGATATGGGTATGCTTGGTACCAGAGCACAATTTTGTGCTTGGTAGTGATGTGCCACATCCTCATCCACTCACTACACATGTGAATTTATTCTCGCAGACATTTGAATGAGTGGAGGAGGATTTAACACCTCACTACCAAGCACAACTTTTTGTACTTGTAAGTCGCAAGGCATATCCATATTTCTCATATATATATACTATTAATATATATATAATATTACCTATAATATATTAATATATATATATCATATATATATATAGTATATAACTATATTATAATATCTGTTTTTGCTCGAAGTACGCATAGGCATACTCAGTATCCATGTAATCAGTAATGATCTGCACTTAATGATTTTTAGTTTGTTGACTGAAATGTGCTTGCAAGCTTGTACTATCTCGACCAGTTTTTTTTTTAAAGCGCTTTACTTGTGATCTATGTTACCCCGACACGGCTTTCTTGGTCCCGTACCCATGTCGGGTACGTTTTGGGTACGAATCCGCACCCAAACGGTAGGGACACGGCGATTACATGAGTGAGGGGGAAAAAAATACGAACCTGAAATTTCACGAAGGAAATCTGCGCCTCGACGACGGAGGGAAGCTTCGACGAGGGTTGGGGAAGCTTCGACGGTGTCGGAGAAGCTTCGAGAGGCGTCTACGAGGGTCGGGGAAGATCTGACAGGCATCAATGAGGGTCGGTGAAGCTTCGACGGCGTCAGGGAAGATCCGAGAGGCGTCGACGAGGGTCGGAGAAGTGTCGACGGCGTCGGGGAAGATCCGAGAGGCGTAAGTTGGGTTTGGGTTTTTCTTGACCCGTTTGTTTTTGTTTTACTTTTTTTTTGGTTTTGAAATGGTTGGGCCGGTCCTTTAAGCAGCCCACTTAGTTAGGTCTGGGCTTTTAATGCTTGTATTTGATTATCTAGGTAATAATATTAGTTCTAAATTTTTAATTAAAGTAAAAATAGTTTTCTATTCTATTTCCTATGCAAGAAATATAGTTTTAACTTTTGGAATATCGATCTAAAGTGAATTATTTTATATATATAGCCGTGTCCCCGTACCCTACTTTTTACAAATTTGCCGTGTCCCGTACCCGCACCCGTACCCGTACCCGCACTCGTACCCGCACCCGTACCCGTACCTAGGCAACCTTGCTTGTGATGAATATTTTCCAACATGGGAATTATTCACATGTTGTCTATCACAATTAGTTGAAGCAGCTATATTATATTATCTTGCACTACTACTTTCTTGATTTTAGTTCCTAGCTCCACCATTCTCATAATTTCAAACAAATACCTAAAATGGGAGTTCAATTATTTTTCTTAGGGTTTTTACATCAAAAACACCTTTACTTTTACCCAAATTGATACTTACCACCTTTAAAGTTTTTTTTTTAATTTATGTAAACACCTTTACTTGCGTACATCTTCACAGTCAACACCTTTTTTACTGTTCTCCCAGGAAAAATCATATATTCCCATTTTATCCCTATCTTCTTCCTTCCAAACCCTAACCCTAACCCTAGCCCCCTCCATTCTCCTCTTCTCCAAACCCTAACCCTAACCCTAACCCATTTTAGCATGAAAGGGTAAATTTTCTTCTGACCATATTTATTAATATCTTTGCCAACATCTGTAGACTCGCCAATTCATATTTTTTGGGGACAAAAAATCTAGGTAATCTATGTACTTTTTTTTTCCTCTCACTACTCTCTGATTAATTCCTTTGTAATTGTGCAGCCTCTTATATCTGGTGCCGCATTAGGTTTGGAGGGTCAGGTAGACTTTCTTTGGAAAAACCTTCAAGATTTTGCACTATCGTTCATATTGAACCGTTGTTTATTTCAGATGTCCATTTGGGTTATCATTAAGTACTTAGCATTGTAAAAAACACCTTCTGCAGCTGACCGTGTATCATCATAATGGAGGTCCTTGTTACCGATGCCTTTTTCCAACACCTCCACCTACAGCAGCATGTCAGAGATGTTCTGACAGTGGTGTTCTTGGGGTAGGTAAGTGGGCATGTCAGTATTTGTCAATATGTGCTTTACATGAGATCCACTATCTTGATCTTCCTGTGTTACATTATTTTAATGCTTTCAGTTTTTGGAGTTTTATGATATCTGCTGAATCTGATAAAAATTTTGGAGTTTTTGATCAAGAAGTTTTGAAATGGTTGCCTTTATGTCATTTATAGGCAAGTAGTGTTGTATGTTGTTCATGCTAAGTTATATCCATAATGAGGACTTAGTGGATGTGAAAAGTGCCTGTGACCCTTGCAGTTCCAATCAAAATAGTTCAAATTTTGAGAAAAGATAGTGGTTCATAACCAGCCTGTTTAGCTAAGGTTGTCTAATTAAGGGTATCGTCAGATGACTTGAAGAGAATATGTTATCAATGCGTAAGACTTATTGCACAAAATTAAGCCTATAATGCATCTTAAGCACCCAGGGAAAGCAGCGATGAGATAAAATTTGAGGAAGGTAAGATTATGCTTTTGCATCAGTCATACATTTTGTTAAGAAGCTGTTTTTGAACACTAGTATCTTCTTTTAGACAATCTAAGATAGACTTGCAGTAAAGAATTGTAAATGGTATCTGTTAACAGAGAAACATACCTGGTGGAGACATTAGGAACAGAGTTAATGGACTCATACATCGTCATCATTTGTTATATCATCTATTAGATTAATGCCATTGAATTTATACCTGCTAACATAATTCAGCCTAGTGTATCGAGTACTTGAGAATGTATATATTATTATCAACAAGTATTGACGGATCTGTGGAAGGAAATAAAATGTTTATATATGTGTTCTACTGCTGAAATCATGACTGCAAATAAATCAACTATGGACCTATTTATATATTGTGATTTGTGACCACTGGAGAAATAAATGGAGGAGGAAATATCTATATATGGTTTTTATTCATCTAGAAAAGTTTATGATGGAGTATAAATATGTTCATGTGATCAAAGATGTGTAGGATAGAGCAACAACTAGTGTGAGAACAATTGATGGAATGACAAAACTATTTCATATTCCATAGCTTTGCGTCAAGGATCACTTTTACATCTCTAGCATAGTTATTGACAAACTTACTAGACATTCAAGGGAAAGTCCCATGATGTATGTTGTTTATTTGCATACCATTAGTTGATGAGACAAGAGAAAGATAATTCCTAATGTTGAAAGATGACACGCCCCGGTTCCAAAATGTAATAGTTTGGAACGTGACTCGACCGACAATGCTACCATACGGTCACATTCACGCCTCTAGATCATCCTGTATATAGATATATTGCCAAAAAGAACCACAACATAGAGCATGTAACTATGATAACAAAGAAAATAGATAGATAAAGAAATATCTGAAAAGACAGAGTTCTACTACAAGTCCACAACTATCCAAAGTAGGAAAGAGAAAAAATACATCACAGTCTGGAGAACCACATGTGGTTACAAGAAAAGTCTTAGTCAAATAACTACCTAAGACAAAAGAATTGGAGAATTGGTAGGATAAAAGGTGATCACTGCCGTTGAGCCTTATCCTCGAAATGCTCTCGATCCCGCGAAGAAAGGACGGTCTCCGAGTCTGGGGCGCGCAAACCCCAGGGGAGTCAGAAAACTCCCAACAAACATGTAAAATAAAAAAATTGTGTGCGTGTAAATGTATATGGTAGATATAAAGAAAAGATGAAATCTAAATTAACGGTGACTAAAAGAGATACTACTTGTAGATATTAAGAATAAGTCTATCACAAAGCATACAAGCACATTATTATTATTTTACATGTTATTTGAATTCGAGGAGAATAATATCATGTATATAAATCTGGTTCCCGTAAACCGTCCCGGGAACACGGCTTCAAGTCAAGTATTGGCCCTTGGCCTTTATATATAATTCAAGATATCAAGAATGCGCATGAGCCCGCTTATATACGCGTTATATTCTCCGTCCAATTTTTCTTTATAAAACCTACATTTATTTTTTTCTTTATAAAACCTACATTTATTTGTTGATTTTAAGTGGTTGTGCATGAGATATTATTCAATAATCACAGAGTTTTCGTGGAACGACTTCCGTAAACTATAAAAACTAACCGTGACCAGATCATGCCCAATCAAGATGGATGCACCATCTAATTAATGCTATTATGTAATTATAATAATCAAGCGAAACTCGTCACACTGGGATATCGATGTCGAGGGTATAGCCATGCTATGATAGCACACTTATGAATCATATTTTTGACGAAAGTCGTCTTCATGCACAATCGACCCTATTAAATGTCACTAGGTGATCAAACATGGCATCAGGTATTCATCATCAAATGACATATCTTTACTTATCAAAAAGACAAAGATAAATAATTAACATAATTATTTAGTGTCAGAATAAGTCAACCGGTTTGGTTTTAATGGCTTAAAGATTGACTAAGCCTGATTTTTTTAGTGAGCAAAAGGTTCAAACGGATCTGAAATTTGAGTCATAACTCCAAACAGGTCTGGAATTTGATATTGGATCCTAACTGGGTCAAACGGTTCTAAAATTTGAATTATAAACCCAAACGGGTCTGAAATTTGATATTGGATCTTGACTAGGTCAAACGGGTCTGTAATTTGAATTATAAACCCAAACAGGTCTGAAATTTGATATTGGATCCTAATTGGGTCGGGTTAGTTCACAACAGACCCAAATAGCTTTTGAAAAAAAAAAATGAATGGCAAAAGATTCGAACCTAAGACCTAAAAGCTAATAACTAAGTCACTTAACCACAACTCTAACCACTACTTTGTGACAAACTGACTGTATTAAACAATTACAACTATTCTCTGTTATAACGATAATCTTGAAAAAAGTTAGAAAATCTTTAAAAATTACTTTTTTAAGAAAACTATACTGACCGAAATAACCAGTTTTGAAAAAAAATGTAATAAAAACTATCTATAAATTAATTATCTTAACTCTAGGAGGAGAATACTAGTAATTGGATAAGGTAATTATGAAAATAAAAAGTTTAGGTTAAGAAATACTTGCATAAGGTGTCAATATTTTTCCTACAGCATTGTAATAAAAAATATATAAAAACTAAATACAATCTATTCATCATGATTTTCTACGAAGAAATACAAGTATTTAGATAAGGAGATCATGAAAATAAAAGAGTTAAAGAATAAGAAAATGCTTGCCAAAATAATAATTGAACTCTGAAATTAAAATCCATATCCGTTCCTTCTCATTGAGTATCTGATTCTCCTTTCAATTTTTTTCTCCGTTCTCAATTTTTCTCTTTGTTTTTTTGGGAGTTTCTGTGAAGAAAAAGGTAGATGAGATGGATATGGATTTTAAAGAAATAAAGTTGTTATATGGTTAGAGATTTTCTAGGATGGGGGAGGGGGTTTGCTTGTTAAACGTGGGATTTAGTATTATCTTAGCTACATTTCAAAAATTTGGTATTATATCCTACCCACCTAAAAAAAAAGATTTTGTCCTCGAAATTAAATCCAAGCACATGAGGAACTAGACGTTACCGGTAATTAAGAGATGTGGATAGCGTTGACGAATATCGTCCTCTCGCTCCCATGTTGTCTCGCCAGGTGCCTGGTGTCCCCAAGATACCAATAATAGAGGGATAGTCCTATTCTTGAGAACCTCCTGTCTGTCTAAAATCTTTTTTGGTCGCTCCTCGTATGATAGATTCGTCCAAATTTGAAGCTTTTTAATGTCTAGGATGTGGGTCTCATCTCACACATAACATCGAAGCTGCGATACATGGAACACATCATACACTCCCTCTAACGATGGAGGCAAAGCTAGCTGATAAGCTACCTCTTCTACTCTTTCCAGTATCTCGAATGGACCGATGAAATGTGAACTTAGCTTCCCACAGCTGTCAAATTTGATAACTCCTCTAGTTGGAGATATCCTCAAGAAAACATGCTCTCTAACCTGAAACTGTAGAGATCTCATTTTAGCATCAGCCCAGCTTTTCTGCCTATCTTGAACCGTCTGAAGGCAATCCTGTATCGTCTTTATCTTGTTTACTGTTTGCACTATCATCTCAGGACCTAGCAGATGCCGCTCTCCCAAATCATCCTAACAGGTAGGAGATCTACATTTTCTTCCATATAATGCCTCATAAAGTGCCATCTGGATGCTGGCATGATAGCTATTATTATAAGAAAACTCCAAGCGTAAGTGATCTTCCTAAGAGCCCTTGAAATCCAGCATGCATGCACGTAACATGTCCTTCATAATCTGTATAGTCCTCTGATTGTCCATCTGTCTGAGGATGGTAAGCCGTGCTGTAACTCAGTCTAGTTCCAAGACACTGCTGCAAGCTTCCTAAAAGTGGGATAAAAATAGTGTCTCTATCAGACACAATGCTAACCGGTACCCCATGCAAGTGTACTATTTCTCTCATGTACAGCTCCGCTAGACTCTCCGTCGTCTGTCCAACCCGAAATGGTATGAAGCGAGCCGACTTAGTGAGTCCGTCTACTACTACCCATATGATGTTGTTTCCCTTCTGGCTCCTCGACGAGGCTATAACAAAATTCATCGTAACATGTTCTCACTTCCATTAAGGAATAGGAAGAGGCTACAACAAACCTGCGATACTCTGATGCTCAGCCTTCACCTGCTGACATCTTGGGCATTTTGACACAACCCGAGCTATCTCCATATTCATTCCTGGTCACCAGTAATGCTCTCTCAAGTCTTGATACATCTTTATGCCCCTTGGATGAATAGAAAGCACTGAACTGTGCGCCTCCTCTAGCAATTCTCTCCAGACCTCGCCTTTAGGCACACACAATCTACCACGAAATCGCAGGGATCCATCCTTATGTATCTGTAGATCAGTTCTCTCCCCAGACTCTATTTGTTTCTTAAATTTTTGGTACCAAGCATCCTCGAACTGGGTAGCCTTGATCCGGTCAACCAGAGTGGACTGTAACTGTAGACTCATCAACTGTCTTCCTGCTCCCGGTAAAATAATCTCTAT